GCTTCTGAAATAACACAGACCTAAAAATCATCAGCAGTTACCCTGGCAGGAAGTGAGCTCTGCGATCCTAGGTCAGCACCCAGACGTTCCCGCTCCGCCCGACGCCCCTCTGCAGACAGGCAGTGCTCATGCTGCCCGCACCTGCCGGTCTTCTCTTCATGCTGGTGCCAATTTGTCTCCTTGGCTTGCTTCCCACTCTGCTGACCCCTGCAATGCCTGTCACTCGGTCTTGCTGTGAGAGCCTGTCTGCACGGCTCTGGGACACCTCCAGCCACATCACCCCGATGGAGCTATGTGCCTACTGGGGTTAGAGTCGGCTGAGACTTCAACACAGCCCATAGAGCCTCACCCCAAAACTCAGCTCTGCTAACCAGCTCACAACATCGCATTCACAGGGGGAGGCCCACCTGGCCTCCACCCCCTGCCACTGCCCAACTCACCTCAACGTCATCAGGGTCTTAAAGGATCTCAAATGTCTGTGTACTTGTGCCGACGCCTCCCTCCCACTGGAGTGTAGACGGGGACCTGACTTGTCTCCCTGTCGTAACAGACCAGGGCCTGACAGTGCCTGGCCACAGGAGGCTATCGAAGCACTGGCAGCCCGGCGGCTGTGCCTTGCTCAGGTCCCAGGGCCGCTACAGGCCTCACATCAGTATGGCCTCCAACCTAGCCCAGCCATTACAGCGAACCAAGTATTAAAAAGCCCTTTCTTGACTTGAAATGTGTTAAAAAAATAATACTTAAAAAAACAAAAACAAAACCAACCCCTGGCTAGCAGTGAATCCAAGTCTACACCCTCATCTCTGCCTTGCCTCTCCAGCTGGAAAGCCCAGGCCGGGAGGGAAGACCTGTGCCAGCACAGAGGCGACGCCAGCCGGCCCAGGGCCAAACCACGGGCGAACAGTGGGAGAGGCGAGCGGCGTGGAGCCGGGAGGCACAAAGGGCAGAAGTAATTTCCACTGTGCTCTGGAGCCTGGAAGGATTCTGGAGGGCCGTGTGACATTACTGCAGATAAAGCACAGCAAAAAAGCCGCCGCAGAAGGAAGCGGAGACCCCGCCCAAGACTCCTCAGACACATGCAGCCTCATCAGGTCCGCTCCAATGTGTGTGTCACACTCGAGAACACATGATCCTCCCAAATGCAGCCAAGACGGAGTTCAGAAAATATCAAAACTGCACTCAAAGTTACAACTTCAAGAACCCAGTTGGTACCCAGCCCCCCAGCACAAGCACAGAGCCAGGCTGGGAAGCTGCAGGGCAGTGCCTGGGCAAGCAGACTATTACCAAACCAAAGGCAAAGCACGCAAGTCTTCCTGTAGAGAATCCAGAAATCCGAGAACGCGCGCACAGGCCCAGGGCTGAAGCCCGTCCTCTGGGCAGAGGGCAGCGTCGCTACCTGGGGTGTGAGAGGACTCACTGGCGCTGGGAACCCCTGCTGGGGCTGCAGGAGAGGACGGGTGGGCCCCGGTGAGGCTCAGACAGGTCTCCAGGTGATGAACATCACTTCTCGCCCCGGGCCATGCAGACGCCCATGTGAAATTCTTTAAACTACTACTTTTCTTCGGCTCTCTGAAGGAAAACAGCAGAAGTAAACACACCAGCTGTTAATGAAGCTATCTCTGTGCAGCACAGTAACTTGAAGAAAAAAAATTACTTTCATTTATGTATTTTTTGAGACAGGCTCTCACTCTGTTGCCCAGGCTGGAGGACAGTGGCACAATCCCAGTTCACCACACCCTGGATCTCCTGGCTCAAGTGGTCCTCCCGCCTCAGCCTCCCAATTAGTTGGGACTACAGGAGCACATCACTGCACCCAACTCATAAAATTAGCTTTATAATCAGAAAAAAAACCCTTTAAAAAACAATGAAAACAAGGGCCTGCAATTCAAGATAGTGAACTATGCATGTTGAATTGAAAGATGGTGAATTCCTTAGGTCAGGGGTTCAAGACCAGACTGGCCAACATGGCGAAACCCCGTCTCTACTAAAATTAGCTGGGCGTGGTGGTGGGTGCCTGTAATCCCAGATACTCAGGAGGCTGAGGCAGCAGAAATGCTTAAATCTCGGAGGCAGAGGTTGCAGTGAGCTCAGATTGTGCCACTGTACTCCAGCCTGGGCAACAGAACGAGACTCTGTCTCAAAAAAAGAAAGATGGTGAATTATGCATCTTGAATTGGAACTGTGCATCTCTCCCCTCCCAAAAGGCATTACCTACCACCCTACACCAGACAGCATTCGACAGCAAAGACACAGCCACACCCAGGACATAAGGGTAAGGCCTCAGGAGCCACACCTCTGTTTGCTAAGAAGAAGAAACAAGTCCCCTAGAGCAAAATCCAGACCAGCATTTCCCCTGGGAGTGTGCTTGGCCCCAGGCACATCTAGCAATGTCTGGAGACATTCTGGGGCATGCTCCTGGCATCTAGTGGCAGACAGCAGGGATACTGCTGAACATCCTACACTGCACAGCCCCCTCGACAAAGGCTCATTCGGCCCAAACATTCACAGGCTGGTCCACCCCTCTGATGGAAATGGAAGCTTGTGATGACAGAGGTAAGTGCGTGTTGTCTGCGGCAATTCATGTGTGTTCCATTCTCTTCCCACTTCACCAGGAAAATAAGGAGAAAAATAAGTACCTGCCAAGTACCCAGGAGCCCCACCACCTGCCCTGATACTGTGAGGAATCAGACATCCCAGGTGTTACTGCTGACCCCCAGCTAGGGCTCCTAGGCCCTCTGAAGAGTAAGGAATCCCCTGTGTGTCTGTGGAGGACTCACTTGGCAAACTCTTCCCAGGTGAAGATCCAGCCCAGTCATGCCAGTTCCCCCCACCGAGGAGGATGTGCTTTTGGACTAGAGAAGCACGACATCCACCCGACAGCTTCCAGAGCCCCGTCCCCAGCCCTCCTTCCCTTCTCTCACATCCGCACTGGCCCCTCCTAAGAACTAGAGTGCAGCTCTTGAGCTGTCAGCTCAGCATGTTCTGTTTCATTCTATACTAATCAATGCTTCTAAATCAAGGATCCCTAGTTTCCCAGCAAAACATCTCCATTATCCACCAGGAATCTCTCCTGAAAACTTCTATGGAAAAAAGTTTTAACTCAGTAGTGACACAAGTGTCAAAAGAAGAATTACAACACTATTTCTTTTTTTTTTTTTTTTTTGAGGCGGAGTCTGTCACTTAGGCTGGAGTGCAATGGCGCACTCTGGGCTCACCATAACCTCCACTTCCTGTGTTCAAGCGATTCTACCGCCTCGGCCTCCCAAGTAGCTGGGATTACAGGTGTGCACACCATGCCCGGGTAATTTTTTTTGTACTTTAAGAGACAGGGTTTCACCATGTTGGTCAGGCTGGTCTTGAACTCCTGACCTCGTGATCCACCCGCCTCAGCTTCCCAAAGTGCTGAGCTACCGTGCCCGGCTACAATACTACAATATTTCTTTACCTGGATGACTGTCTACATGACTACTTTAATCAGAGGCTATGTAGTAACTCCGGAATGCCAATTACATCCAAGATCAGAAAGCAGCAGAGGACTTGAAGAAGAACCCTCTCCAGAGACCTTCCGTCGTTCCTTCAACACACAGGATTTCTGGACACATTTCCTATTTGGCGTTTCCATATTCACCAGCCAGGGCCAAAAGTGACAAGCCGCCACAGTCCTGATCTTCAAGCCATCTTGTGTGTTAGCTGAAATGATGGGCCTGGAGGTGCACTGCACGAGACAAAGTGGCCACTGCCTCACACCTGTCATCCCGGCGCTTTGGGAGGTCAAGGCAGGAATTCGAGACCACCCTAGGCAACAGTGAGACCCTATATCTTTTTAAAAATATGAAATAAACCGCTAGTTAATGAAGAGGAAGAGAAGCTTGCTTCTGCTTTCCTATGAAGACCAACTACACCAGGGTACAGCCTAACTTCGACAGTGCTAACTATAGCAGGTACCTTTAAATGAATGCCAGGCACTGCTTGAAACAATACGTGGTCGCTCGTTTCAGCCAGAGGTGACACAGGTGCTACCATTACTTAAATCTGACAAGAATAAGCAATCACCAAGTGGGGCCTGATGTCTCCCAGTAAGGAGGAATACAGAGGAGCCGGAGTCACACCCCAGTAGGATGGCTCAGAGCCTGCGCTCTTCAGCCCTTTGCCGAGCTACCTTGGGCCTGGGGGAACGCACAGCAACCTGGCCACACTGCATCCTCCACACCTGTCGCCACTGAGACGGACGGACGGGAACACCAGGGTGCTCTGGGAGGAGAGAAAAGCCTCGCAGCCCTCCAAGAAGGGAACACAGAACCACAAAGCTCAGCCGCAGCTCTAGGAAAGCTACGACCCTGATCGACTAAGGAATTCCTTCCCAGGTGCTTTATATCAAATCCTCTATTAACTAGGTAAAGAGCAAGTATCTGCTCCTTTTACTAGGAGCACAAATTTCATCCTAAAAAGTGCGACGCGGCTAGGTGACCACCCAAGGTCACGCAACCGGTAACCGGACGGCAAGAGCTGTATTTCAGGTTTGGTGACGCCCATCAAAAAGGTTGCTGGGTGCTATCCGGCCGTGAGGTTTCTCCCTACAGTTCCTAACCAGCGACCGGGAGCCGGCACCCAGCACCTTCCAGCCCTGGGCTCCCGGGAGGGCAGCCGGATACCGGCCGGGCACGTTGCGCACTGTGGGCGCCCGAGACCCCACGCCCCGGAAACTCCGGCTGCCACCCCCAGCCCCAAATTCGCCAGCCTTTGCGCTGCCGGGGTCCTCGCTGGTTCGGCTCACGCAGCTCTTTAAGCAAAGGGGCCAGTCAGGTGCCGGAAAGCGGCCACCCCCGCCCCACCTGCCTGGCGCCCACAGGACGACCCCGGGGAGCCAGCACGGCCCCGCGAGGCCGCGCCCAGAGCCCTCCGTCCTCTCCGCTGGCCCTCCCGGGGCGGCCCCTCGCAGCCCGTGGGCACTGGCGGAAGACGCCGTCGCTGGCCTCAGCCTGCGCAGCGCAGGCGCCCACCTTGAGGGTCGGATACTCCTGGACCTTCAGGGTCATGGACAACTGAGCCGCCGACTCCTGCACCGCCATCTTGAAGCGGCCAAAACATTAGCGGGCGGGGGACGCGCGGGCGCGCTGCACGCCGGGAAATGACGCCGCGCGCTCCGGACGGAGCGGGGCGGGGGAGGGCCGATGCGCCTGCACCAATCGCATCCGCTCCCTCGGCCGGAGGCGGAAGAAGATGCTGACCAATCACTGCCGGGTTTCCTCTCGCTTAGCCAATCAAAGACAGCCCCGGCTGGCGGTTTCCTTCTTGAATTCTCGGCCGGGTGCAGGCCGCAGACGCCGGGCTCGCGATGCTGCCGGAGTGCGGGCTGTGGCCGGGGCTGATGGAGCTGGGGCCGAGCGGCCTGGGGGACTTGGCGTCCGTCTTGTTACTCGGGCTCCCGCAGGGCCGTCCCCTGTGGGTCCCTCGTGCCTGAGGTCCCAAGGGCAACGCCGACGAAACGCCTGGCCGCAGGCGCCTGTAGCCAGCTGTTTTTCTTTTCTTTTCTTTTTTTTTTTTTTGAGGCGGAGTTTCGCTCTTGTTACCCAGGCTGGAGCGCAATGGCGCGATCTCGGCTCACCGCAACCTCCGCCTCCTGGGTTCAGGCAATTCTCCTGCCTCAGCCTCCTGAGTAGCTGGGATTACAGGCACGCGCCACCATGCCCAGCTAATTTTTTGTATTTTTAGTAGAGACGGGGTTTCACCATGTTGACCAGGATGGTCTCGATCTCTTGACCTCGTGATCCACCCGCCTCGGCCTCCCAAAGTGCTGGGATTACAGGCGTGAGCCACCGCGCCCGGCCCAGCCAGCTGTTTTTCGTTGGCCGCGTTTTCACCGATTTCCAGCTGCTGGAGCCTGATGTGGAGGAAAGGCCCAAGACCACATACTGTTTCCTGGACAGGAGAAGCGCGTGCCGCCTCCGCCCTCTCCTCGCAGGGCGGGCAGCGCTGGCAACCGGGTGGTGCCTCACTTCAGCCGCTTCGCGTGCTCAGCCTTTCACACACCACCCGTCTCCCTGCTCCTTTCCAAAATAAAAATGAAATTAGGTTCGATTAACGAGGAAATGACGTCCCAATTAAACCACCTTGTGTTTCACGTAACTCATTTCTAAACAATTGTTTAAATACTTCCCTTGTAATCCCAGCACTTCGGGAGGCCGAGGCGGGTGGGTCACGAGGTCGAGAGATCGAGACCATCCCGGTCAACATGGTGAAACCCCGTCTCTACTAAAAATGCAAAAAATGAGCTGGGCATGGCGGCCCGTGCCTGTAATCCCAGCTACTCGGGAGGCTGAGGCAGGAGAACTGCCTGAACCCAGGAGGCGGAGGGAAGCACCTAAGGAGGCATCGCGATGAAGCCAGAATCTCCGCTTGGAGGGTGGCGGGAGTTTTAACTGCTACACGTTACAGCTGGAACGCACGACGTCCGACCTGCGCTGTGGAGTCTTTGTTTTATCCGGGAGTTCGGGACTAACGGAAGTGTTACTCCTCAAGTACGTGGCTGCGGACTCCAGTCCTTTAAACGTTTGAGGTGAATTTTACAGTGAAGTTCACAAATCTTTACAGTTTGATGAATTTTCACCCATATTTGCACTTCTATCTAACCATGTCCTGGTTGAGATTTAGGACATTTCCTGTGGCACAGAAAGGTCCCCTGCCCCTTTTCAGGCTGTATCCCCATCATTCCAACCCTGGTCCCCATGACAGCTTTCCTGACCTTCCTGTAATTGGAAGTGTGCACTCTGCACTCCTGCATCTGTTCACAGTTGGCATCGTGTCTGCTAGTCTCCCGGGTGGCCCCAGTAATCCACCGCAGCCCTGCAGCAATGGGATGGACTGCCATCCTCTTTAAAGACTTTGGGTTCACTTCACCAGGAATTCAAGATTAACCCAAAGGAAACAACACGGGTTTTATTTCCGTGGCAATGCCATCTTAGTAACATCTGCAGTTAGAAATTCTCAGGAATGACGAGGCAGAGGCTTGCACGTTGGAGAAATTGTTTCACTCTCTACAACCTTTGGATCATTCATTCTAGGTTTTCTTAATATCGGAAAATAAAACTGTATTTGAATTAGTTGGTCCTTTGGTTACAAAAGGTTGTAAACCAAAAAGTGTCTGGGACAGATCTGAATCTATTCAGAAGTTTGTTTTGCCAAGGTTAAGGATTATGACCTGCGACACAGCCTCAAGAGGTCCTCAGAACATGTGCCCGAGGTGGTTGGGTTACAGCTTGGCTTTATACATTTTAGGGAGACATAAGACATCAATCCATAACGTGAGGTTTACGTTGGTTTGGTCTGAAAAGGCAGGACAACTCAAAGCAAGAGGAGTGGGTGGGGAGCTTCCAGGTCACAGGTAGATTCAAAGATTTTTCTGATTGGCAATTGGTTGAAAGAGTTCTTATCTAAAGATCTGGAATGAAGAGAAAGGAGCATCTGGGTTAAAAAAAGGGTTGTGGAGACCAAGATTCTTATTACATAGATGAAGCCTCATAGCTGGCTGCCATTAGAGGCGATAGATGGCTGATCTTTCCTATCTAGATCTTTAAAAGCTGCTAGACTTTCAGTTAACTTCTTCAGAATCTGAAAAGACCTGGAAAGGGCAGGGGATGCTCTACAGAATGTAGATTTCTCCCAGAAGAAACAGCCTTTGCAGGGCCCTTTCAAAATATGTCAAAGAAATGTATTTTGGGGTAAAATACTTTGATCTCCTTCAGGGCCAGCCATCTGTCATGTAACATTGTACTAGATTCAGGTTGGAATTTGGCATCTTATTGCTACAAAGAGGCTGTTTTGTCAGTCTTAAGATCTCTGTTTTAATGTTAATGCTGGTAAGTTTTATGCCTGAACTGCAAAGGGAGGAGGGGATACTGAGGCATGACCCACCCTCCCTTTCCATTAATAGTTGCAGGAGGCAAACACAGCAGGTCCCCAGTGAAACCTAACCTTCAAGCTGAAGCCAGTTTAAAGCCTAGCTACAAGTCCCAGGTAAATCCATGGACTGGATCGAGAACCTGTCTTCCTGCTTGGCATGCTTCCCTGTGATTGATTGCCATCCTTCACCTATGTTACATATACCTACCCTTCCCTAATTGGTTTTTAACCCTGTTGTGCCCACTTTTGAGTGATGCCTTTGTTTTAGACATTTTTGCATATTCACAAACCAGCGCGCACTTCCCATTTGGAGCCCATAAAAGCCCTGAACCCAGCCACATGGAAAGAGAAACCACCTGACTTCAGGTGTTGGACCACCCTCACGTCCATGCTCCACTGCCTTCTCACTCAATAAAATTCTTCACCATCCTCCTCACCCTTCAATTGTCAATGTATCCTCATTCTTCTTGGACATGGGACAAGAGCTCGGAACCCGTTAAATGTGAGTACAGAGAAGGCTGTAACACCATGATCCTTTGCCCTTCACCAGTGGAGAGCAGCCACCCCACGTGATGGAAGCAGTGGCAGGGCTGAGCAAGCCTTGGAGCCATGTGCCAATGAAGAGCAAGGGGCTGGCAGAGCTGTTGACACACCATTGTCCATCACGCTATGGACTAAAAGAGCTAATTAGCACGCTGTAATACCTCCTTTGGGGCTTCAGGATCACGAGCACCTCTACCTGGGCATCACCATGTTTCCCTCGTCTGAACACCAGAGTCCACCATGGGAGTGGCTTGCAACATGCCTGGTCCAGCCACAAGCCCCACATGGAACCTGGTTCTACGCTGGCACTTGGAACAGTTGGCTGGACCCGGCACTCTCTTGCTCACACGCCCCCTCCCACTGGGGGCTGAGCATGCAGTCACAGCAGCCGCGGGATCCACACTGGATTGTCCTAGTGGGCCGAGTGGATGGGGCATCTCCTGTGGCAAACCTAGGCCTGAACAAGGCCTGGGCAAGGGTGTCACCAGCCTGGCAGCTCTGGCTGACAGGTGACCAAGAAAAGTCTGCGTCACCATCGTGGTCTGAACTAGTTTTTCAGGTTCTTTGAAATCCCCTTGGCTGAGGGTGGGGGTGGTGGGTCCCATTCAGCTGGTTGTGGGAGCTTAGACTTTTCTTTTCATTTACATACTTGAAGTTGTCCAATTGTCAGACTCTCTGACACCAACTGGGTATCCTACCCCACTTACACTCTCACCCACAGGCTGAGGGCTGCGTTCCACAAGACTGTCCCCTCTCCAGGTGACGGCCACATGTGGGGTGCCCAGGCCACCCACACAGCAGGTGATACTTTGGGGCTCCCATGAACCCTTCCTCGGGTTCAGTAATTTTTTAGAACAACTCACAGAGCTCAGGAAAACACTTATGCTTCCCAGCTTATTATGAAGGACACAGCTCAGGAACAGCCAATGGGAGCACATTGTGCACGATGGGGTGAGGAGCTCCCAAGCCCTCTCCATGTGGCAACTGCCCAGAACCTCAGGGCATCCACCAATCTGGAGGCTCTCCCAAATCTCATTATTCACAGATTTTTATATCTCAATCCTCAGCCCCCTCTCCTCCCCAGAGGTGGAGGTGGAGTGGGAGAGGGGCTGAGAATTCCTGCCATCTAATCTCCGGGTCTTTCTGATGATGTCCACCCGGAGTCACCTTGTTAGCATAAACTCAGGTGTGGTGGAAGGGGGCTCCTTACAAGTAACAGAAGACACTGCCACACTCAGGAAATCCCAAGGGTTTCAGACACTCAGTGACCAGAACCAGGGGCCGTGACCAAATATACTTCTTCTTGTGGCGTAGTGTTCAACAGCTGTCACGTTCTGTGTCTCTTGGTTTAAACTTCCAAAATCTTAGGCTCTAAAGTCTAGCTCAGCATGGGTCGGCTGCACATCTGGACTAATCAGATATGCCAGTGATGAGCTGTGGGGCACGCCTGGAACATGTGGTTTCCTCGTGTGGATGGACCAGGAGCGCCCAGGGAAGAAGAGCCCAGCAGATGGATGGTGCCGGGTGTCTCCTGCATGGTCACCGTGTGGGAGGGCCTGACCTCTGGCTCAGGGACACACTGTCATAGCCAACTCACACCACATGCTGCAGGGGCTCTGTCCACATCCCAGGGCCCTTCTTATCTCCACTGATGGGCCACAGGGCTCTGCTACTTAAAGGTAACCCCCTCAAGGTCAAGGGGGTGACTCTGCCCAAGTGGCAGGACACAGCACTTCCTCTCGCCTGGCCAGATCGGTTTTCTGAGCTGGAGTTGTCCTTGTCGTTATTTTGATCCACACGTCTCTTAGGAGGTAGTTAACACTTGCCAATCCTGCTGAAAAACTTAATTCTTGAATGAATGAAACGTACCTCACATCAGGTGAGAATATTTTACACATAGTTGACTGTTTTGTTGATTTCTTTTTTGAGAGAGTCTTGCCCTGTCACCCAGGCTGTAGTACGGCATCATTATTGCAGCTCACTGCAGCCTCAACCTCCCGGGCTCAACTGATCCTCCCATTTCAGCCTCCTGAGTAGCTGGGACTGCAGTCATATGCCACCATGCCCAGCTAATTTTTAAAGTGTTTTGCAGAGACAGGGTTTTGCCATGTTGCCTGAGCTGGTCTCAAACTCTTGGGCTCAAGTGTTGACTGTTTTGTTGGTAAGAAAATAGCATTTGATTTTCCCTTAAAAGTATTTAGTAATACAAACTGTAACTAGTTCCCATGATTAGCTGTAGAGGTGGAATGGACTCAAGTCACACAATTGTTATCTTCACAACATCTGTTTGTAAATATCTCCAGTGAAGGCCTCCCTGCTCCCGGGTGGGGCCCAGCCAGGGTGTGTGCTGGATGTTTGAGGTGGCTTCTGTTGGGCCAAGATTGTAGAATTTCCTTCCAAAAGGAGCCCTAAAATTGCAGTTAAATAACTTTACCTCACACTGGACAGAGTTAAGTGCCTTGGACACAAAAGAACGTGTCTTCCTGTGGACACTATTGCTGGGGGTTGGGGGGACCAAGAGGAGCTGGAGTGAGAGGTTCCCCTCGCCTGCTCCGTGGGTCTCTGTAACCGTGGCTCAGGAAATCAGGAATGTGAGCGTGTGTGCGTGTGCGCGAGCGTGTGTGGGCATGTGTGTGTGGGCACGTGTGAGCATGTGTGTATGTGAGTGTGAGCATGTGTGAGTGCATGTGGGAACATGTGTGGGAGTGTGTGAGCGGGTGCAGGTGTGTGTGGGGCGTGTGTGTGCATGTGAGGGTGTGTGAGCATGTGTGGATGTGTGTGCATGTGTGATCAAATGCATGTGTGCATGTGTGAGCATATTCTGTGCATTGTGGGCATGTGTGTGTGTGAGCATGAGTGCATGTCGGCATGTGTGAGCATGTTTCTGCATGTGTGAGCTTGTGTGTGTACATGTATGTGTGGGTGTGTGCGAGCATATTGTGGGCATGTGTGAGCATGCATGTGTGTGAGTGTGTGCATGTGTGCACACGTGTGAGCATGGGTGTGTGAACATGTGTGTGCATGTGGGTGTGTGAGCATGTGTTTGCATGTGTGCATGTGTGTGCATGTGTGCATGGGTGAGCATGTTTGCATGTGTGCATGTGTGTGAGCATGTGTGAGTGTATGTGAGTGTGGGTGCATGAGCTTGTGTGAGCATGTGTGTGTGAGCATGTGTGGGTGTAAGTGTGTGCATGCGCGAGGGCCCCTTCCCACCCTCTCATCAGGTAAAGCCCACCTACAAGGACACCTGGGCCCTGAGGGGTGGGATTTGCATGCAGACTCCCGCCCCCGCCCCCGCAATCGCCACGGTGGATTTCCTCGTGAGGAGAGACAGGGACTACTGTGAGAGCTAGACTGTCTGACACGAGGCTGCTGAGTCACTGAGAGAGGTTTTCTCCAAGGCTGGGCATGGTGGTGTGCGTTGGTGGTCCCAGCTACTGGAGAGGCCAAGTGGGAGACTTGCTTGAGCCCAGGAGGGTGAGGCTGCAGTGAGCCATGATCATGCCGCAGCCCCAGCCTAGGCTGCAGAGGGAGACCCTGTCTCAGGGAACAAATGGTGTCTTCTTATTTGGGGGTCATATTAGTGGAATTCATCCACTATTTTCCTAATTCTAAGCAATGAATCACAGCAGATAAAGAGGGTGCTCACAAAATAGTCACTAAAATGGTCCATGTATTAGGTCATAATGAAAATGTCAATAGATTGCAAACAGTGGAAACACTACAGGTGGCATTCTAGACCACAAAACACCCAAACTAATAAAATCGAGATTTTCCACCCAGAAATGGAAAATCCCTCTTTCTAGTGTCAAAGAGATGCTAAGAAATGGAGCTTGCAGAGTTTCTGTAAACCAGCAATAATGAAACTGTGTACATCAGAACGAATGGGCTATTGTTACTGTGTGTGTGCCCTGAGAAGTCCATGGTTTTTAAGAGCTGTGTGGGTTACAAAAGGAAGAAAGAATGACCTGTGCAAGCCATTCAGAAACATTAAAGGGACTGCAGCAACAAGAAAAGGCAGCCGAAATAAAAAATAATAAAGTTGAAAATTAAAAGGAAAGAAAAATTTTAAATGTAGAACCAAATATATATGTGTAAACTCAGTTGTTTAAAAAATAAAATAGATAACCCCATCAGCCGACATACATTTTTTAAAAAGCACAATGTCACAATTTGGAAGCAAGAAATGACAAAGTGGAAAAGGCCACAGAAATGACAGGAGTTTAGGGAATCACGAGAGAGCTTTTATTCCACTGCACGTGGGAGGCATGAAAGAAGTCTCTAGAAATGAAGAAAATGTTGCCTTGCACCCGAGGCTGGCTCCCAGGAGCTCTGTGTGGCTGCATCTCAGGCTCACCGCATCTGCGAGTTGTTGGCGAGTCAGTGAGGGCAGTCACGTCTCCTCCATTTGTAGCCTCCCAGAAAGGAAGGCACCCTCTATCTCCTGTGTTCAAAATCATTGCTGAGGCCCAGCGTGGTGGCACACAGCTGTAATCCCAGCACTTTGGGAGGCCAAGGCAGGCGGATCACCTGAGGTCAGGAGTTCGAGACCAGCCTGGGCAACATGGTGAAACTAAACATACGAAGTTAGCCAGGCCTGGTGGCACCTGCAGTCCCAGCTACTCGGGAGGCTGAGGCAGGATTGCTTGAACCCGGGAGGCGGAGGTTGCAGTGAGCCAAGATTGTGCCACTGCACTCCAGCCTGGGCGACAGAGTGAGACTCCGTCTCAACAAAAAAAAGCAGCTGTGTCATTTGATACCTCCAGCTCCGTGCACGACGGTTCCAGTCTCAGCATTCTGTCTTTTCCAACGGAGACGTTTCAGTGTGTGTGGTTCATTTCATTGTGACAGAGTCGTCACTCCGGCACCCAGGCTGGAGGGCAGTTGTGTGACCTTGGCTTACTGCTACCTCCTCCCCCCAGCCTTCAAGTGATTCTCCTACCTCAACCTCCCAAGTAGCTGGGACTACAGGCACCTGCCATCATGCCCCGCTAATTTTTTTTTTTTTTTGTATTTTTAGTAGAGATGGGGTTTCCCCATGTTGGCTAGGCTGGTCTTGAACTCCTGACATCAAGCAATCAGCCTGCCTTGGCCTCCCAAAGTGCTGGGATTACAGGCATGAGCCACCGCACCCGGCCTAGGATGTGTGATTTAAATGTGCATTACGCCCAGCTAAGGTTGCCGCACGCTTTCTCACGTGCTCGTTTCTTGTCCGTTTACAGGTTCAGCTGTTTGTGGATTTTTCCTGCCTCTGCCATCCCAAGATAGCAGGACCAAGCCCCGCTTGCTCCTCCTCCTCAGCCACTCACACGAGCAGGGGGAAGATGGAGACCTTGATGGGGGTCCCCTGCAGTTAGTGAACCGTGAATCCGTTTGCTCTTCCTTATGATTTTCTTAATAACATTTTCTCTTCTGCGGTTTATCATAAGAATATAGTTTACAACACATATAACAAATAAAATATGCGTTACGCGACTGTTACGTTATCGATAAGCCTTCCAGTCGCCAGTGGCTATGAGCAGTTAGGCTCCGGGGAGTCAAGAGTTACACATGGAGTTTCCACTGTGAGGCTCAGTGACCCTACCTGCCAAGTTGTTCAAGGGTCAATTGTGTGTTCTTTTGTGAAATGTCTGGTTTTTTTTTTGAGACAGGGTCTCGCTCTGTTGCCTAGGCTAGATTGCAGTGGTGGAAATACGGCTCACTGCAGCCTCAACCTCCTGGGCTCAAGGGATTCTCCTGCCTCTGCCTCCTGAGTAGCTGGGATCGCAGTCATGGAACATCATTCTCAGCTTTTTTCTTTTCTTGTAGAGACCAGGTCTTGCTATGCTGCCCAGACTGGGCTAAAACTCCTGACCTCAAGTTATCCTCCAACCTCAGCCTCCCAAATTCCTGGGATTACTTTGCTGCTTGTGTTTAAATCGTGTCATTTGTTTTTGTATTGTTGATTAGTAGGAGTTCTTCTGAGTTCTTCAGATATTCTGGACACCTGTCTTTTGTGACCTATAGTCACGTGTGCCTTAATGACAGGGACTTGCCCAGAAAATGCAATGTTACAGGATCTAGTCATTGTTGTTACTGTATGAAATCACACTGTCACTCACACAAGGCTGGATGGCACGGTCCCTGCACTGCCGGCTGCAGGTAGAGCCCGTCACTGCTAGGCCTCTCCTGCCACAGGGCCGCTCAGGGTGCTGTGTTTCCAAATAATTTAACAGGAGGAATACTTCCTAACTCACTCATTCTATGCAGCCAGCATTACCTTAATGCTGAAATGAGATAAAGACATTCACAGAAAAGAATAGACCAATATCACTTACAAATACAGATGCAAAATCCTCAGCAAAATATTAGCAGATTGAATGCAACAGCATATTAAAAGGATTATTCATCTATTCATCATGACCAAGTTGAATTTACCTAGGAATGCAAGGGTGGATCAACATGAGAAAGATCAATCAGTTCAACACACCACATTAACAGAATTAAGGGAGAAAACCTACACAATCATCTCAATTTACACAGAAAAAGGATTTGACAAAATCCAACACTGTTTCTGATTTAAGAAAGAAAAGCTCGGAAAAATAAGAATGGAAACAAAATTCCTCAACATGCTAAAGGGTATTATAAGAAACCCACAGCTGACCAGACACGATGGCCCATGCCTGTAAGCCCAGCACTTCAGGAAGCCGAGGTGGGCTGAACACTTGAGCCCAGGAGTTCGAGACCAAACTGAACGACATAGTGAAGCCTCGTCTCTACAAAAAAAAAAAAATACGAAAAATTAGCTGGGCATGGTGGTGCACATCTGTGGTCCCAGCCATTGGAAGGCTGAGGTGGAAGATTGCTTAAGACTGGAGGTGGAGCCAAGGCAGCAGTGAGCCAAGATTGTGCTGCTGCACTGCAGCCAGGGCTACAGAGCGAGATTCTGTCTCAAAACACACACACACACACACACACACACACACACAAGAAATGGAAAGCAACCAAATGGAAGGGAAGTGGTAAAACAATCTCTATTTGCAGATGACACGATCCTACATATAGAAAACCCAAAATAACCCACAAGAAGGTACAATAGCTCACAAACAAATTT